TAAGAAGAATAATTCTCACTTTCAACTGGTAGAGAAAAGATGGAGAACAGTAAGGAAAAAGCAGAAAAAGCTATGGAAGAACTCAGGAAGACATCACAAAATATTACAAACTTTAAAGAAACTCCAAGTAGAAGTTCAGAAGATCGACACAAAGATGACAGAATTTGACGGCACTTTGAGAGAACAAAACAGTAAAACTGAAGAAATGGGAGGTGGAACTAGTGAACTTGAAGACAAAGCTCTCAATAACAATCCAAGAGAAAAATACTAAATAAAAGTAGCATAGCTGTAAGTTGTAGTGGGACCTACCTGTGGCTCCCATCGCAGCACTTGCCACTACCCGAGGCACCTGCTTCCCAGAAGTGACATGTCCCTGCCCAAAGGTCCTGCTGGCACTCACCGCAACCTGCTGCAACCGGGACCCCAGCTGCCACTGTCTTCAGGTCATGCACAGAGGGCTTAGGGCATCATAGCTGCAATTGCTCCCAGCCGCCTCCCCAGCCCGCTGCTGCACCTTCAGTTGAAGCAGCTGAAGGGACTGGAGCCTCAGCGCTGTCCTGCAACAGATGCTGCACCCACCCACCACACTATGCCTTCGTAGGCTTGTCAGGATGAAATGCACACGGGCACAGCATGACTACCTCCCCTTGCCTCCAGAGTATTGCTCCCAAAGCCAAAATCCAGTACCAGCTGCCAGCACTCACACTGAGCACACACACCAGCTCCAGCAGCCTAATCCAGGAGCCTCTCAGGTTCCCACCTAACACCCTATCAGCTTGTGCACCACACCCAGCCAGGTGCCCTGGCCGTCTCAAACCTCTGGGCTGAAGGACATCTATAACCAAACAGTGCTTCCTCCTTTTCGCCTCTCTCATCCTTTCTCAAAACAAATATAAATAGGTTCTATATACCTGCACCTACCAACCTGTGATCTCCCAGCTTTGCGCTTCACCCTCCCGCATCACTGGGCCACAGCTCTGTGAGTCTAAAAGGACTCTGGCTAGCCTGAGACCAGAGACTTGAGTTGGACTAGGCTGGGATGCCTTCCTTTATAAAATTACTTCTTGATATAAAAGTTCTTTCTTTTACACAGATGGATGTCACTGGCTTTGTTTCTCTAGACCACGCAGCCTAACACACATATTAGAGTCAAACTCTCTGATGTGGAAAAGAGAGAAGCTTGAGACTAGCAAGGGTAAAAAGCAGTCTTCTACAAAGAGAAGCCACTAAGAATCACTTTGGCTGTCTCAGCAGAAACCACACAGGAAAGAAGATAATGGAGTGACTTATATAAAACTCTGAAAGGAAAAAGTTGCTGAGATAGTTAAGTTATTGTGCCAGCCTGGCCGATAAACACAAGTGGGATTAATTGAAGGGCGGAGAGATAAATG